TGTCACTAAGATCAGAGAGGACTATTGCCATTCTCTCTTGTGGAGCTACTGTTGAAACCACCTGGCTCATTAAACAATGTCACCCAGGCTTCTGCTACAACACTAGGAGATCTGTGTCCAGCAGTAGAAGCTATACTTGGATCGATCAGAGAGCGATCCATTGAAAGCGTACTCGCAGAAGCAAAGACGTTACCAGCAAAGGGGCTGCTATGTGATCAGGACAGAATAGCGAATTTTGAACAGAACTTGGAATGTCATGTGATGAACAAATGAAGATTTTACTTCAACTTTTTAATCCCTAGAGATTCGACCCAATCTTTGTGCTATGTTTCCTTGTGATGAAAGTCACAACAGCTACAGTAGAACATTCTTTTTCCTCATTGAATAGAGATCTGTGTTCTGAAGTCACCTTCTACCTAATCATGAGCATATCATGAAGGACTGGAAATAATGAAACTCCAAGAAGACACCAAAGAGTAGTGCAAAATGACAAGAAACCAAGAAGAATGTAGATGTTGTGCTTCATAGTTTGAGTAGCTAACTGTAATTTGTGATTTTAAAACACAAGTTAAATGTAAAGGCCATGAAACATTTTTTCAGTTTTTACTCTAGTGGCATACAGCCTACCTTCACCCTCAGTCTCAACACTCATTGGCCCTCATCCCCAATCTTGTAATTAGCCCTTTGCATAGGTGGACTAAGTTTGTGCTTTCACCTGCTTTGGACTATTTTTCAGACATCGCTGCTTCACTTTTTCTTTCTCAATCTGAGGCAAATCATGTAGCGAACCTCTGGCTTTCCCTGCCTTCCTGAAAGGAATTTTAGACTCTCTACACGCCTTCCACTTTGCTGTTAAACAGCTGTTGCGCTCTAGAAACAGTCACATCCCAATTTTAAAGAGAGAAGAGTTAAATATGGTATCTAACAAACTGCAATGGGAACGTATGTCAGAAAAATGTGATTACACAGCCTGGAATTTGAGGACCAATGAATATATCTAATCACCTGCTTTGCCACATGATTAATGACGACAAGCGCTCAAGAACTCAGTGTTGCATCCCCCTTGGAAGAGCACTTCCAGGAGCATGGTGTCCATGACCTTGTAGAGGGCACTGCTGTTCGTTCATCGAGGTCAATGAGGACCACCTAGTGTCATCAGTTTAGTTGGGGGTGGGTTTGGAGATGGCTGATTAGTCCAATCCGAGCCCGAAATTGACGGTTACAGTGGGGACATGAAAGATCGGACTGCCGACCGGAGGAAGAGAAGATACCAGCCCTGGACTTGCGAAGAAGACGTTTCTCTGCAGCATAACGCAGTCTCTTTTGTTCGTGGGCTATTGCACCATCATGTATTCATCTGCACCAGGCGGAACGATCATCAGCAATACTCTCCCAATTTCCGAGATCTATGTTACAGTTCTTAAGGGAGGCTTTAAGAGTGTCTTTGAATCTCTTCTTTTGACCTCCAAGATATCGCTTGCCGTGTTGTAATTCACCATAGAGCATCTTCTTGGGCAATCGATCATCGGACATGTGCACAACATGGCCAGCCCCCTGTAGAGGGCACTAGTGCAGTCCTGACTTACAGCCTGAGAAGAGTGTCATCTGCTGAATCACCAACACCCATCCTAGCCCACGCCATCATCTTATTCTAATTCTGTTTAGCTTTTGAGGTCTGCCAGGTGAGTTCGGGGAAGTCTCTTGTTAAAATCCAGCCATCATGCTGTAATGGAGCATGTAGTGACTTCCCTGTTTTTGCATCACCCTTTTCCTGGCTTTCCCAGGAGTGACTGATTGCTGGGGTTCATAACCATTTTGGAAGAGCAACTGTTTGGAATACAGTACATCGCATTACAGTAATCTGGAGAAGGATATTTTGCTTCCCTTCACCCCGAACGTCGCGTGTGCCTGTAGAAGTTGAGCAGTGTGCTCTGTTCCCTGAACTCAGTCTAACACAGAAAATTTAAACATTTCCAGCAATTGCATTCAGTATGTTCAGCATCCTTGTGCTGTTACCTCCTTCCTTGGTTATGAGAGAACATTAAGTGGCACAACAAATAGATTCCTTCAATACCGTAGCTCCCCTCCCTGTGCAGCTCTACATCTGTGGCATTGGCTTTAGCTTGGGCTAAAACTGATATGCTTGCAAGAGTCCTTTGTTAAAGTTCTAGCACTCTTAATAGCAATACAGCTGTAGAGGAACTTCTCCAGCATGACTTGTTTGAAAAATGGGTTTAAGTTTTATTATAATACACTGAATGCCCTTTTTTCATGCTTAGCCAAAGCAGTTCCTGCAAATCGTTTGGTAGAACTGCATGACACAGACCTAGAACTCCCACACTGTTTCAGTGGAAAACACAAACTCTCTGCACAAGCGGCCCTGGAGCATATGGAACTATTGTAGCATCTGTGAATTTCAAAGTAGTGGAGCTCTTTGTCCAGCAGGTGGCATTACTAGCTTTTCAATTGGCTCAGGAACAAGCTTGGTGTGGAGTTGTTTTCCACCTAGTTGACCCAGTACTTCTGCAGCACATACAGTAAACCAGAGTTTGTGCTGTAAGAAAAAAGCAAAGAGGGGCCAAGGATTATCCAAGCCACCACTGATGAGCTAATGCTTACCAAGATGTTTCCTAGCAATGAAACCACAATTTAATGAACACTTCTCTTTTGAGAACCTTCAGATTTGCTGCTATTGGAGAGATTTAAATTTAAGAATAAAACTGGCAATCTAAAGGAAAGCTTTTGGAGGCCACATCTACATGGCAAGTGCTACAAAATTACAGCTTCAGCTACTCCTGTGCAGTGGAGCGTATTCCTATCTCATTGGAAGGGGCTTCTCTATCAATGTAGCTAATCTACCAGTTGATGGATTTTGCTGCTGACATATCTAAATTGGGCGTTAGGTGGCCCTAACTTGGATGCTCTGAGTGCTAAAGTATTCACATCTGAGTGGAGTTGCTAAGTTGATCTAATTTTGCAATATAGACCAGACGGAAGTGTGTCAGGAGGGAACCTGCAAACCTATAATCATCTTGCCTCAGTTAAGAGCAGTTCAGCTTTCTCACCAAGTGGCACAACTGGATTAGCTGCCTAGAGCCCAGTGGTCCTGGGGCATGTTTCTCTGCTGTAGAGAAGTGCATGAGCTTGAAATACTAGATTACTCATTTGGAAGCAGCAAAGCAGTCCAGTATTTAGTAGAGACTTCCACAAATATGGAAAATACTTCAGGGAATTTTGTGTCAATGCATGTGTACAGAATTCATGTCCCATGTAGGTTTCTTTGCTTCCCTGCAGGAAAATGACTGATAGGGGAGCTGCAAGAGCATTTATATACCATTTCCCAACAGTGTGGACGCGTTATTTAAAGCACCCAGAGCAACTGGCAGAGAGATGAATCACCGTGACTCCTACCCTGAGTCAGAATCAGCTGCTCGTCCCTTATGCATTGTAGGGAGGAGGGGACAGGACTTCCTTTTCCCCTGCAATGTGTGGCTGAGGCTGTCAGCCCCAGCAATCTCCCTCAGCTGTGTGAAGTTCAGCATCCTCCCCTGTTTCCTCCTCTATTTGCTCCTCAGTTTTGGGTGGAGAGGTCATTGTATGGAAAACTTCTCCCCATCCTCTCTGTGCAGCTGGACTGTCAAGACCCAGACACTCCTGCCAAGCCTTACCTGGTACATCCAGAACCCCCAGTCGTCCCTCGCCAAACCTTACAGAACTTCAGCTTCTGCATCTAAAGCTCACCCCCACCCCCAGACCACCCACCACCAGAACTAAACCATGTCCAGGCATGGAATTCAGGGCAACATCCAGATCCCAACCCCACCATGCTCGTAATCCACCCCTTCTCACTTCCCTTTCATCTCGTGCCCAACCGCCCTCTCCTGAGGGCCTGGCATGGGGTGGCAGCAGGGCTTGGACTCCCTACACTGACTGCAGCATCAGAAACTGCCAGAAGTACAGTGACAATGGAGCAACCCAGCAGCCTGCTTTGCTCCACTACCATCTCCCAGCTGGGTTGCTCAGCTTCATGATAGTGGGAAGCAGAATGTTCCAGCCCCAACCTGCTCCCCTCCCCTGAATGATTCAGGGCTGAAGGCTGTCGATTGGGGCCGGGGAGCTCTGCTTCCCACCACTTCAGTGAGTATTAGTGGCTGACCCTCTGCCTGTGGTGTGACGCGATGGGCCAGTTACCTGGTTAAATGTAGTTTAACTGGTTAACATTTTAAATGGGATTTTACATCCCTAGTACAAACAAGTCGTCTGTATGAAATTTTAGTTTGTACTGACTTTGCAAGAGCTTTTCATGTAATCTGTTGGAAAACTAGACAAACACGTACATAAGATGATGTGCCCCCTGGAAGTCCTCTGTATCCCCAGGGCTATCGGTAAATTGTCCCAGAGTTACATTGTCTGTTAAACATTGACACCTTATTTTTAGACTGATTTTATCTCTTTTTCAGCTTTCAGCTAAGGGACGGTGTTGTAGCTTCCGCTGCTAGATGGAAAATCCAATTATTAAATATTTATTCCCCATGTGGCTATTTATAGACTGTAATCAAATCACCCCGACCCCTCTCTTTGTTAAGCTGAATAGACTCAAGGAATTCAATGACTATAAAGCATGGTTTTTAACCCTTTAATAATTGTGGCTCTTCTCTGTACCCTCTCCAATGTATCAACATCCTTCTAGAATTATAGGCACCAAACTGGACATGCTATTGTAGCAGGGTTGTACTCATGCCAAAATAGCCTCTTTATTCCTGCTCAGGATTCTCCTATTTATTCATCCCAGGATCCCATTAGCGCTTTTTGCCTCAGCATCACAGTAGGGGCTCACGTTCAGTCTACTATCCACCAAGACTCCTACATTTTTTTTCATTCAAAAACCTACCTGCCTCACTGCTCCCAATCACACCTTATCAGCCTTTGTGCATTAAGAATGAGCAATGGTGGCAAGATGATAGGTGACTGGATCCTATCTGAAATCCAGAGGTACTTACTCCTCCCTGCGCTCCAGCCGTGCACGGTTTCTCAGCAGCCGGTCACGCAGGCAGCATGCAGCGAAGGAGATAGACATGCTCAAAATGATCACACCGCTGATGAGCGAAGCTATGACGGCTACCCGGAAGCCTTGGTCAAGAGGCTTTGGGATGGCTGGAGAGAGAAACATGAACCATGCCTGTAAGGAGTTCGGGGCTGGCCACATTAGTTCTGACAGATTGAGGATAATTGCTGGGAATTAGCCCACTGCTCAGAGCACTTTGTAGGGAGTGGCTGTCAGGTTGGCACTAGCTCTCATTCCAGGGTCTGAAACTATCCATTCTCTCCAGGGCCTGATCTCCAAGGCCTCACACCACTGCCGTCCGGCTCTAGCATGTGGGGTAGCAACCCTTTCTCTCCTGCTACCCTTCCATGGGCTGCCGTCCAGCTCTAGCATGTGGGGTAGCAATCCTTTCTCTCCTGCTACCCTTCCATGGGTTGGGTTTCCAGTTGTGGCAACCCAGTGAGGTCACTGAACCACAATCCCAGCCAGAGGGAAGGCTGCTTCTTCAAACCTCCCCCATTGCAATCTTCCCCCAGCCGCCTGCTGCTTTATCACACCACTTCTTTACTGCTGCAGCTCTCTGCCTGCTGTGAGAGCTTGCAGCTTTTCTGGGCCCTCTGTGAGATTTGGCTGAGCCACACTTCTGTGAAATGAGTTTGACTGGCATCTGCGTTCCTATCACTTCCTTCCTCCTCTGGGATTATTGTCCAGGCAAACAACTCCACCAACGTGTCAGACTTGGAAGAATGGTGGCTGTAATGGGGGGCAGGGACTTGAGTCCCCAGCAGCTGCACCTCTGCACTGGCCCATCCACATGAGCACCTGGAAGCAGACACAGCTCTACATTCCTGAGATGAAACTACCCCGTTAGCAATACATTGACTCTTTCTACCCAGTCAGTCCTGCAGCTGCACTTCTCCCCACCAGTTCATACATCTGGCCATTTGTGCCTCCAGCTAGCTGCCATTTCTTATCTGAGTTACAGGAGCACATGTGTATTGGGGCCTGGATGTACAGTGAGAGAGAGACAGGCCCGGCCCCAAAGAGTTCACCATCTCAACAGACAAGATAAACTCCTGGGCTGTGTCTACACTGCACCCCTTTTCCAGAAAAGGGATGCAGATTAGACACTTCGGAATTGCAAATCCGCGGGGGATTTAAATATCCCCCGTGGCATTTGCATTTACATGGCTGCCGCTTTTTTCCGGCTTGGGGTTTTTGCCGGAGAAAAGCGCCAGTCTAGACGCAATTTTCTGGAAAATAAGCCCTTTTCCGGAGGATCCCTTATTCCTACTTTCAAGTAGGAATAAGGGATCCTCCGGAAAAGGGCTTATTTTCCGGAAAATCGCGTCTACACTGGCGC